AGTAAAAAAGTGGGAAGATTATGGAAATTACCCTACTTTAAATTTGTAAGTAAGCGATTGTTCCCGTGGTTAATTTAAAAGGCCAATTTTGCTTAATATACTGACTAAAGCGGTTTTTGTATGCGGCGGCCTTCCGAGGACCACTCTGCAGTTCAATGTCATCATCGAATCCCTGCTGGATCGATGGATGGCTTGTAGAAAACTGGAAGATACTGGGTAATTCAACCTACTTAAAAATGTAAGTAGGTGGCTATAATACATAGGGACATTTCGAAGATCCCACTTGGAATCCCTACCAAAAAAGTATCTTTTCACGATTTATATTTAGTAAGATAACTACTTATCTCCTTTTTTAAGATAATAAATATTAAGTTTTGATTAACGTCCCGGATCTGTTACGCGATAAAACAAACTGCAGTCCGGTCAGGATAGGTTTTTTCAGGGAAATATAGGTAAACACCTTTGAAATCCCTTTTGGTACAGAGCAGCTATGAAATGCATTGGTTCAGCAGAACATGGGGCATTGCTAGTAATAGAACTTGTATTACTGCGTTCTGTGACAGAAGACATCATGCATTGGCAAAAAATAATTTTTAAAACAGAAATCGTCCCCTGTTTCGGAAAAACAATGCGATACCTTAAACTTACTTTCACCTGATTTTTCTCAAATTAAGACTAGATTAGGAATGTAGATTGTCAAGCAGTGGATCCATTTGTTTGGTATTCTCAGCTTTCGAACTTCTTCAGGATTCTATCGTCAGGGATAAGAAACAGCAACAAAAAGGAGGCTAAGTATAATGTGTATGCACGCATAACTGGTCCTACAAGAACTAGAAAACAGCGCCTTCACCCAACATAAGCCCATCTTTTGGCGTCGTTAGGTTGACGACACGTTTCTTATCATCAAGAAGACACATGCTGCAAAACTTCCATAGCTTGCTCGATGGAATCTTTCCTGTAAAACAATTCACGAGGGAAGAAGAACAGGAAGAGCAGCTGCCTTTCCTTGATGTCCTCGTCAGTAGAACGCCCAACGATAAGATAGAGACAATGGTTTACAGGGGGGCAACGAACACAACAGAACTTCTCAGTTTTCACAACAACCATCCAGTTGCTCACAAAGGAAGCAGTGTAAAACGCTCTCTAAATGGATTCAGACTCGCTGCAGTAGGTTGGAGGAAAAGCTACGCGGGGCCCGATATCTCCACGACCAATTTATGCGGAACGGTTTTCCAAAAGCATTTATAAACCGGTGCCCATGCGTTCGGCCCCGGAGAACCCAAACGGCAGAACCACCGAGGATATGGCACGACGTGTAATACATCAAGGACGTCTGAGAAACGACTGAGCACATCGCTGCACGAGTAGGTGTCAGAATTGCACACAGACCCAAAGCTACCATGCGCAGCAGGGTAATGAAAATATAAGACCGGCTTACTCCCACTGAACAATTCGAGGTAGTGTATCGTATCCCATGCATAAGCTGTCCTTGTAACTAGGCAGGACAAAGTTAACGCATGCTCGGATCGTGCATACATGAAAATAAGTTGGCTGTACAGCGAGGTGACAAATTATCACAAGTTGTAGCTCATACCTATGTAACAGGCCATGAGTTCAATTTCACTGCCGTTAAAGTACTCGCCCACACCGAAAACCAGACGAGCAAAGAATTGATTGAAGCCTGGTCCACAGACGAGAATTCAGTCTGAATTGGCGCCAGCGTACAGAGCCTTACACAATCACGTCAAGTCACGCCCAGATATCCACCACAGTTAATTGGCCAACACCGTCGATACTCACCGCCATTTTCGTTAGTGGCGCCCTGATGAACGTCTACATCACTGACGGTTAATTACCCCATACCTCTAAAATTCTCCCCTCCTCGCCTTTTTTCATCACTGTTTCTTACCCCTTACAACCCCTGACAGTTGATTGGTGTACGCACTCCATAATAAACCTCCTTTTTGCTGTTGTTTCTTATCTCTGACGATGGACTCCTGTAAGAGTTCGAAAGCTCAGGATAATAAACAAATTGATGCGGTGCTCGACAATTTTTCTTCCTTATCCATGAAAACCCTGGAACGCGAACGTTTTCATTCATTCATTCATAAGACTAGATTTTCCGGTTGTGAAAGTGAAATATTATAAGCTTTTCTTGCTTATATTTGGGT